TATGAATCAGTACTCATTAATTTTAGTAATCCTGAATCTCAGTCGCTCCCAATGCCTTTTTTCCCACCCGAGACAAAGAAAAATAATTACATAAATTATCATGACCAAAACTTGAGTTTTCCCGCCCAACCCGACGCCTGTCCCCCGCTCTCATTACCACCACCACCATTATTCCCAAACGACACTTCCCTCGGCTTATGATAATACAAATCTGTTTCTCTAAACGAATAATCCACATTCGTATTCGACGGCAATATCGCCGACCACGCAGACGGCGCCTCTCCGCAATCTCCACTATCCGTACTCAAACTCGACCCAACAGAATTCCTCTCCGCAGGATTCTCGTAAACTGTTGGTGGGCGCGTGGTGTCAAACGATGGAAATTGCTGGTGGCGAGGTGAAGAGCGTGATGCACGTGGTGAGTCGAATTGACTTCTGCCGGAGAGGCTTGATACGGATCGCTCGGGGCGGGGGGAGCGGAAGTATGTGCGGAGGAGTTCGGGGGATACAGGCTCTGAACCACGGGAGGATCTGTTGGCGGAGTCGGAGGAGGAGTTTGCTGAGCTTGAGAGACTGCTGCTTCTGTTGTGATCTATGATGCTTTGGTTTGTCAGGTCTGTTCTTGTTGTCGGACGTCTTGAGAGTTGGCGAAGGCCGTAAACCTGGAAGAGTTAGTGTTTGTCCACGTCAGTGGGGGTAGTGGTGATGACATACCTGAGGTCGCTCAAGTGAAGAGTCGGTAGCATGTTGTTGAGGAGTCTGCCATTCGTTGTAACAAGTAACGCCGAGACGGGTAGACTCGTAAGCCGAGGGAACAAGAAACATGCCAATCAAGAACAGAGCATGGAATGCTAGCAAAACATAACCAAGCGTACTCGCAGCAATATGAGTCCACAAATCAGGAATCATTCCCAAGCAGAGAAGAAGCACTGAAAGTCGTGCACCAGCGATCAAGACTGGTTTTGATAACAGCTCAGATGTCGCGCCAGCCCAAGCGAGAAAGCCCAGCTGAATGACTTCACAAGCCATGAGCGAAAATAACTGCACAGTCCCAAAACGCTGCAATCCACCGATGATAACGCCTCGAGCGAAAAGAAGAATGAAGGTGACATAGCTGTAATAGTCCTGCGTTCGTGACGGTTCCTCAGGTGTCTGCTTGTGAAGATTGTCGACTAGTAAATAACCCATGTCTTGGGGACTCCGCGACATTCCCCACCAGCACCCAATGATCAACAACGCAACTACCACAATGACGAGGATTGTGTAGTAAACGGGGCGCGCGCTGGCGCTGTCAAGTTGATATGTCGTCCACGCCGTGAGCGGGAGAAGTAGATAACTCAGGTACACCCGTAAAGCGACCCAGATCGTAGCTTTGTGCGGTTTCGAAGACCTGTCAATCATCCATCTTCCCGACTGCTGAAACCAATCGCGCGTCCATCGCAAATGAAGCCCAGCCTGAATTACCGCGTACAACAGCACGAGAATGACAACCGCCAGCGTCGCGATGTTCGTCCAGGTTTCCACCGTCACTGGAGCCCCCATCACCTGCGTCATGTGCTCCAGCCCCGATGTCCCGCCAAACGTGCCGTTGATCTCGTGGATCCCGTCGCGAATACCATAATACAGCGAATGTCGCCAAACGATACCCCGTCGGGTCATGAGCGTAGACCAACTCGTCGAACTAACCACCGGTTGCAGAAATCCAGGCTGTCGGAGGCTGAGCGCGCTGGAAAAGAAGATGAATTGTATGTACGCCAAACAATCGGCGATGCGCGTGAGGTGAGATCGACTTATACTCCTTTCCTGCCCAGACTCATCGTCTTCTCGTAAAGGATGCACGAGATTATACCATTCTTTCCCGACAGCTGCCAAAACTACCAGAATAAACGTCAGCGCCGGTATCCAGAATGAAATCTCCTGGGCACTGTATCCAATATCCGGCGTCAGGAAGCCATTCAGACACGCCACTGAGAAATGATCCGGAG